AATATCCTGACTCTGCTTGAAGGTAGACAGAACACTGCAGGTGTTAGGTCAGGTGTAGAAGCCTGAGCAGTAAGAACAGAGCCAGAGCCTAGTTGTGGGGGCAGCTCATCCCTTGGGGACCAAGCTGATAGGCTGGGATAAACCAACAGGCCAGATGACTGCCATTTTCCCAAGCTATCACATGTTTTATTGCTGACTTTCAAGAAAGAAGGAGGAAATCCTAGTGTCATCGTGGTGAATTCAATTCATGCACTTACCCCTCCTCCTTTCCCAAATATCAACGAAATGGCCAACAGAATGGTCACTTCTCCACCTATCCTCCATCCAACCTATACTTTTTGAGTACCTACTATGTGCCAGACAGGGGTCAAGGCACTAAAATAATTTTAAGTCTTATCTAGAAAGAGAACCAGGGGGAGGATGTGATATAGAGTGACTGGATGGATGGGGTGACCACTACAGATTGAGCGGTCATAGAAGACCTTCTAAGATCCCTCAGCAGAAGGGAGAAAGAGTGGCCTTCTTGGGAAGCACCATGGAGAGGAAACTGAGGAATTTCAGAAACCCAATCAGGACCTGCAACACAGCAGCACGCTTGGCTGCAGGGACGTTGGGCTAAGGAAAGTTGGGGCTCGACCACCCACAGACCCCCGCAGCCACCCATCCCACTTCCAGAGAGGACCCAGTCTTTCAGTCTGTTCTTGGACCGTATGTCCAGGACGCAGAGTAGAACCCCGCCGATTTACCTGTGCCCTCCTCCCATTAATACACTCAGGTGAGGCCGTACAGCCACGTGACCAGAGGAAAGCCTGTCCCAGATCAGGGGAACTCAGGAGCCACACCAGGATTTCTCAACCTGTGCTGTGCCTCAGAATCACTCAGAAGGCTTGCTAAAAATATAGGCACCCAGAACCACCCTGGGGCATCTGTATTTGAATGACCACCTGCAGGTGATTCTGATGTACCCTGTGGTTTGAGAACCACCCACCCAAACAATTACTGAGGGAACCTCATCAGCTACTGGTATAGTCCATCTGGACCAGGGCTGTACCTTAGCATAAAATTCAGAAAAAAATGCCTCACTGTCAGAAATTCTGACTTAATTGACCTGGGGAGGGGACTGGACATTGGTATTTTTAAAAATAAGCTCTCCAGGTGGTTCTAATGTATGGCAAAAGTTGAAAACCAGCAGTACCCCAAATTTCTGGGTATCTGAAAGGATTGACCTGCTCTGAACAGTGACTGGAGTAATGAGACAATGAACAGAAACAATGATTCTCTGATCAATGATAACCTGTGAAATAGACTAAGTGGTAGAAATAGAGGGAAGATATGAAAAAAAATCTGTATCCCATCTTCAGGGCAATTCAAGAGGATAAACATCACTAGAACAGAGCAGGCTACTAAGAACAAGTCCTCCAAGAAATATTACAGATTCTTGGAAATAAAAAGCACGGTTGTCAACCACTCTTCTCAACACTTCGTAGGCAAAGAAAAACTCATTAAAGTATAAAATCACAGAATGGACACCATTGAAACTGGTGACTCTGAAGAGTAATTCAAGGAATTGTATCCTTGAATATAGAATAAAAAGACAAAGAGATGGAAAAATAGTAGAGAAAAGAGATAGGGCTGCTACACCCCACATGACCAGAATTCCTACAAAAGGATTTCCTAAAAAGAGAGGGTAGAATGGAGAAAAGTGTGGCAATAATTGAAAGAAAGAAAGGAAGGAAGGAAGGAAGGAAGGAAGGAAGGAGACCCAAGTTAAAGAAAGATTTAAGTTCTTGGATCCGATCAAAGGGACTACCGAGGGCATGTCAGAAATATTAGAAAGAAGATACCCATCTACATATTATTTTCTTTTAATGTTGATTGAGAAATATGTCTCAAAGTGTTAGTTTCAAATATATCAGGTTGGGACTTCCCTGGTGGTGCAGTGGTTAAGAATCCGCCTGCCAATGCAGGGGACATGGGTTCGATTCCTGGTCCAGGAAGATCCCACATGCTGCGGAGCAACTAAGCCCATGCGCCACAACTACTGAGCCTGTGCTCTAGAGTCTGCGTGCCACAACTACTGAAGCCCGTGTACCTAGAGCTCGTGCTCTGCCACAAGAGAAGCCACCGCAATGAGAAGCCCATGCACCGCAGCAAAGAGTAGCCCCCGCTCGCCACAACTAGAGAAGACCCACACGCAGCAACGAACACCCAATGCAGCCAAAAATAATAAATTTTTTTAAAAAGTATATATATATATCAGGTTAACAAAGCTCTGGGGAAGAACGGGATTTGGAGGAGGTAAAGAAAAACTTCTAGTTTTCATTTTTTATACCTCATTATTATTTGCTTGAAGCAATGACATTTTAAAATAAACCCCTTAAAAGTATGACTAGACTAGAAACTAGAGTAACAAAAACTAATACAGAACTTGATTAATAAAGCAAAAGTTAAGGAAGAGAAACAGAAACAAGAAGAAAACTTAGATTCAGAAAACATAAACTATCAGGAAAAAGATTAACTATATGATCCAAGTGAATGTGACTGCTTTCTATCCCAAAGTCTAAGGCAAAACATACCACTAGAAAAATGGGCAAAAAACACAAAAACAGGCAAGCCACAAAAGAAAAATGAGTATCTAGTAATCATGAGAAAAGATTCTCAAGTATGTTAACAAAGAAATAAAAGTAAAATATTTTTATTTTCATCTGTCAGATTTGCAAAGGTGAAAAAACTTGATAATGTTTGGGTTGGTAAGGATGTGGGGAAATGGGCACTTTTAAGCTGAGGGCATGAAAAAGAGTTGTTATTGTTTTGCTCCAGGGGAATCTAGCCATATGAACTAAAATTAAAATATGCATACCATTCTTAGCAATTCCAACACCAGACATTTATCCTGAAGAAATAATTGGACTTTTGTATAAGGATGTTCCTTGTATCACTGTTTATGTTAACAACAACAACAAAAGGTTATAACCTAAATATTTTTTTTCCCAAACAGTGACCAACTTTATCATGGGGGGTTCCCACATGGGATCCCACCCTCTTAAATAAAAAGGTGCATAGAAAAGAAGGGATTTAGAAACCTTTGTACAATTCCTACATCCTGGGCCCCAGGGCGAGGAGAGGTTAATTGCTGGGTGGGCTGCAGGGGTGGAGGCAGGGCCCTTGCCACCTGCATGCCCACATCCACCCTGAGCATGAGTGTGAGGGAGAGATGCTCTGGGAGGGACGAGGGAGCTCCCAAGCTTGGGGCAAGATGGCTGCAGGCGAAGTGTTATGACCTGGGCATTAGTTAAATAAATTACACTACAATTATGTAAGTGGACATGATGTAACTATTAAAAAGCATAGGCGGATCTATACGTGTTTACCTGGAAAGATTGCCATGATATATTGTTAATTAAAAAATTACAGGACAATGTATATGTAAAGGACCTATTTATCCAAAAGAATACGATATTGTATATACAAATAGATCTAAAGGGATAGACAGTAAGTCAAAGGTTTTCACTCTTCCTTAGTTCATGGTGCTCTTAATGTCTCACTAAGTTTTTCATGGAGCCCCTGGGCCAAAACAACAACAAAAACCTTAACAGTTTTTTTTTTTCCTTAAAAAGTCAAAGACCGTAATATGTATCTATGTCCTAACAACTTAATAGCTATTTGAAATACATATAAATTGAAAGAAAAAATAATATGTTTACTTCACTCCTAATGACCGTGTGTGTGCTGTGGAGTACTGCACATCTTCTCAAACTTTGGAATCAGACTGGACCTGCCCCCTCATTTCCTAGTCCATGTTGATTTTTGTCCAGTACTTGCTTTTTATCACAACAACTGCCCTGAAAACCCAGATTTGCAAAGATACGACATCACTGGAAAGAATGTAATGTGATCTAATGCTGAGAATGGTGGACGACCATAAGCTAATCGTCTACACAGTATCTGACATAGGTTGAACATCACTATGTTTCCCTCAAAGATTTAGAATGTCCTGTGGGAACCCTGTGAGTTCCCTGCAGCAGCCTAGAGTGCCCTGGTGCAGTTTGGGAATCATGGCATTAGACTATTAACCAAGGCTCCTTCTGGAAAATGAGATTGGGCTGGAGGCAGAATGAGTTTTCTTTGTTATGCCCATCTGGACAGTTTGAACTTTTTATAAGAAGTGTCTATGACTTCTATTACTTCTTATAAGGTTTTCCATTTTAAGAAAAGAAGCCAGAAAAAGAGCAAGAATGAAAGTGAATGAGAGAGAGATAAAGAAATGAAGAACAAATAAAGAGCTGTCTCACCGAGGGGCAGAGGGTACAAAGGCACACCACACTGGGTTTCCTTTTGTAATCGCGAACGTGGTCTGAGTCTCCCTGGGCTTCGGTTCCTCAGCTACTAAGTAAACACACTAGTTTCTCTCATCGATAAGGAGCTATGGAATGGAACCATTGCTGCCCGCTATTCCAGAAGAGCAGAGTGATGAAAACCACAGCTCTGGAGCCCTCTGCCTGGGTTCTAATCCTAACTCTGCCACCTACTTGCTGTGTGACCTTGAGTAAGTTCACTAACTCCTCTGTGCTTCAGTTCCCCATCTGTTCATTGTGAGAATAATAATGTTTACCTGTTGTGGGGATTCAGTGGAAGACACTTACTCTGTGGCCAGCACAGAGTAAGTGCTAGCTATTATTGTTGCTGCTGCTAATGTATAAAAGCTAAACTGACCCACAGATTCTTGCCCTCCAGCAATCGGAACTAGGAAACGTGAAGGACTGTCCCAGTTATCATAACATCTACAGGGTCATAGAGAGGTCAGAGGGAAGCCACAAAGGATCCACGTACAAAGCTATTAGGAGGTAGAAACCATGGGTAAGGAATCCAGTTGGGTGGTTACTTGAGGGGTTTCTGTTCTATTGAAAAAAAGAGTCAAATTAAGATAGGGTGTAACATAATTTCACGATCTCATGCATTGCCCCCCGCACTCCCAAACATTAAAACATTTTTATTTTTACCTCATCTCTATGTCCCATAAAGCAACATCGTCGCTGATCCAGGGATTGGACGGCTCAGCTGGCGTGACCAAAGGGTCATATTCCACATACTGTTCTGTGTAAGCAATTAAGCTGCAGGAGGGAAGCAGAGCCAAGAATGCCACTGATTTCCTATAAAAACGTGTATTCTGCTTTACACAAACATTATATCAGTCTTCATATAATTCCAAGTTAAAGGGGAAAAAATTTACCTTCACTGCCACTTCCAACAAATCCAACTGTTTTCATTTGTCCTTGCTCCCTTCTCATGATGAACATACTGTTTTCGCATTATTGCAGTCATAGTATACATGTGCATTTTATATCTTTTTCCCACTTAACTCTTTCACTGAACCTTGGTGCATCCTCCCCTGGTCATGCTAGCTTTACTGATACACTGGTCCAAGCCTGCCTATGTCTCGTCCTCCCACATGGACTACAGATCTCAAGGCATCTGGGGCACACAAAGGATGCTACAGTTTTTCTAGGCTGCCAGTGCATCATTCTCAACTGGAGGACTTCTTTATTGTAAAGACTTTAAAATCCTGGCAGACCAAAAGGAGTTAACATATTATAAACATTTTTCCAAAAAGCAACTTAGTTTTTCTAGTTAAACAGCCACAGAATTTAAATAGCCACATAATCTTTTTAAACAAAATTTCAATTTTATCAAAATGCATGTCGATAGTTAAAATAAAATAGTACTAAATGATTTCTTTTACAAAAAAGCAATAGCAATGTTTTCTCCTATCCCTTCTCACAGAGGCACTTACTTTCAGTCCTTATTTCTTTCAGCATTTACCTGTATATTTCTAAATTATATGTTTTTATAGCTGCTCTTGATTATCAATTTTAGACAAGGATTAACTTTCTACTCACCAGTCCCCCCCACTCACTCCACCATTTCCTCCCATGATCCTCCAAATATAACACTTTTTGTTAAATCAACAGTCAGTGTCCACATTAGTAAACTGGGTAAAGATTGTCTGCTGCTGAGCTAAGTAGCATATTACCTTTTCCAGGTGTTCTAACAAATCTGTAAAACATCTAGCAATAATGTTTCACATCTTCAACACATCAGATAATCAAGCAGTGTTGTCTCCCTGTCTCCTGGAGGCCCTCTCCCCAAAGTCTGGAGTCCTCTTGCTTGAATCTGGACTGTTTGCTCTATAGGCTTGATGCAAAACCATCATCCTGGGCCTTCCTTCACGTCTATGTTAGAGCCCCAGTTTCCTGGATTCCATGTCTGTCTATTGGTTTTACCTCCTGGTTGTGTTGAAGCACATCCTTTAGTAGTTCCTAAGAAAGGATGCATAAGAGCTAAATATTTTGAGTCCTTGCAGGTCTAAAAATGTTTTTTTACCTTTACACTTGACTGACAGTGCTGGACATAGAACCCTAGGTTAAAAATAATTTTCTTTCAGAATTTTGAAGGCATTGCTTTACATTTTTTGCTATCCAGTGCTATGCTACTGTTGAGAAGTCTGAATCCATTTTAATTTTTGTTCTTTTGTTTAGTTTCTCTTCCCTCTGGAAGCTTAAAGTCTTCTCTTTATTGCTGTAATGCTCGCAAATTTCACCATGACCCTTGCCGGTAGTTTTTATTCACCGTGCCAGGCACAACGGACAATCCATAGGTAAAAAACCAAAATTCCCAGAAATCTTATGGTATTTCTTTGCTAATTTCATAACCTTCATTTCCTCTGTTTTCTCTTTTCATAATTCTTTTAAATTAAATATTGGAATTGATAATCCAGTATTCCTAAATTTTCCCTCCTAATTTTCATCCTCTTGTCTTTTTGTCTCATGGTTCTTCCGAACTTTGTCTTTATTTTTTTCAATTTGGACTATCACTTTCTTACGTTTCCAGAGTTCACTCTTTTTTTTTTTTTTTTTTTTTATTTATTTATTTATTTATTAATTTTTGGCTGTGTTGGGTCTTCATTTCTGCGCTAGGGCTTACTCTAGTTGTGGCAAGCGGGGGTCACTCTTCATCGCGGTGCGCGGGCCTCTCACTGTTGCAGCCTCTCTTGTTGCGGAGCACAGGCTCCAGACACACAGGCTCAGTAGTTGTGGCTCACAGGCACAGCTGCTCCGCAGCATGTGGGATCTTCCCAGACCAGGGCTCGAACCTGTGTCCCCTGCATTAGCAGGCAGATTCTCAACCACTGCGTCATCAGGGAAGCCCGAGAGTTCACTCTTGTTTATCATAGTATCTAGTTCTTGTTTTATGGATGAAATATCTTCTCATATCTCTGAGGATGTTAAATCTATATCTTTATTGTCAGTTTCTTTTGCTTCTTGAATAGTTTTTGGTTCCTCCAAGTCCCTTTTTCTGTTTGTTTGTTTTGATCACACTCTTTTGTGTTGGGGCTCCCTCCGAGAGTCTGGAACATCACTGGACATCCATTTGTGCTTAAAAGTGAGGGACTAAAACCTGCTTGGAGGCTTCGTGTGTGTGTGGACAGGATCTGCCAACTGACAGGCTTCGTTGTCGGGTCAGGGCAGCTTGCCTGTCATTTCACTAAAGCTCCACGTGAGAGATCTGGAGTCCTTCCTCTGGGGATATCTACTTTGCTCTAGAGCAGTGGTAGGCAAATTTTTTTCTGCAAGACCCAGATAGTAAATATTTTAGGCTTGGCAGACCAGATGGTGTCTGTTGCAACTGTTCTGCTCTTCTGTTGTAGAACAAGAACAGCCATAGACAATCAATGAATAAATGCATGTGACTGTGCTTCAGTAAAACTTTATTTGCAAATATAGGGAGTGGAGTGGAGTGGATGTGGCCCATTGGTTGTAGTTTGCCAGTCTCTTACCCATGGGCATCTACACCTGGCTCCTGGAGGGCTGAGAGCAGGACAGGGGAGTGGTAGAGGGTCCCACAGCTCAGTACACAGCTCGCTCAGGAATTCTCTTGCTTTCAGCTGGCCCTTCATGATATGATATGCCTGAGTTCTGAGCTGATGTGACTCAGTTTCTCCAGAGAATAAAGTGCCCATCTCCCATGGTGGTGGTAAGAGGGGAGAGAGGGTCTCCTCACGCGGCACGGATCGAGGGATCCCAAAGCTCCGGAGACAGACTACCCATTCCCCTGGGGTTATCCGCATGCCTCCTTCTTGCCTTCCATTGTCCCTGGCGCCTTCAAGAGCCAAAGCCAGATTTTGTTGGGCAAATTGGTTTTGTTATAATTCTCCCACCCCTAACATGGAGGTCATAATGTTCTTTACTCTGTCCCTATTCACTTTCTTATTAAATTTTGAAATATTTCTTGCATTCAGAAAGGCATAAAAACTGTAAGAGTATCACCCTTCTACTCACCACCCAATAAAAAGAAACACAACATTACAGAGACAGAGGTCTGCAGTCATGCTCCCCAATTCTTTATACTTTTGACCTTGGAAAAATGTGTGGAAACTGTTAATCCATTCATTTGTTGACCTTGTGAGTTCATACCATTTTCATTCCTTTATTGACATGTTACTTTTGGGAAGGGAGAGAAGACTAATGTACATCCACAATATTACCTTGAATGAATTTATTATAATTTATATAATAATTTGCTTTATATTGGACATAGACTTCTAATTTCTTTTTTTTAGTATATGTAGTGCTGGCTATAGTAGAACACCATTGTTCAGAAAGGTTTTTCCATCTTTTGGGTTATTTATTTAGAATTAACATCCATAAGTGGAATTATTGGGCCCAAAGATATGAATATTTTTATGGTTATAGATCTACAATAAAACTTTTCCCTAAGCATCACCAGCTTGAGTGTCACCAGTTTCCTCTGCAATGGCAGATTCAGAGCCACAATTCCTGCTACTGAATTGCAAAGGGCAAGCATGGCCAAGTAGCTTACTTCTGAGAATGTGAAGAAATTCACGGGCAGCTCCATCTCATTGCTACTCAAAATGTGGTCCACAAACCAGCAGCAGGGGCATCACCTGGGAGCTTGTAAGAAATGCAGAAGCTCAGGCCCCACCCAGACCTACTGAGTCAGAATCTGCATTGGTAGTAAAATTGGCCAGGTAATTCATATGCACATTAATGTCTGCAAAGCGCCACATCCCGTTCTTCAATTTTCTGAGAGGCTCAGGACACAGGATATTTTATTCATCAAATGAAGATGAAGGAGCCTGTGATACTTTTGGTTTTAAATTCGGTTGCAGGCTTCCTAACACCTCACAACGTTCTCACTGTCCCAGGCGTGGACCGTCCCCCTGCGGGGTGGGAGGAGCATTAGTCTAAGTTGAAAAACCTTGCTTCTAGCTGTGGGCTGAGCCATTGAACTGACCTTTGTCAAGTTCACCATATGTTACATAATGGCCTTGATGAGTACTCAGGACCATTTGACAAAAAATAATAGGAAAGCATTTCAAGAGTCTTCCAAGTACCCAAGAACCGTGAGATAGATGACTGCAACCACCACATGCAGCGCAGGCCCACCGTCCTGTAAATCTCCTGCTGGATGTGCATCTGGCCTGAGTGAGGCTTCATCCGTATGAGCCATACAGCATCTCAGGTGAGAATGAACAGGGAAGGGAGCTCTAAGTGAGCACTGTGGCAGGAGGGATCAGGCAATAATTTGGTGCTGTGATAGCTCCAAGGGGAGGTACCCCTTTGCCACTTGGGCTAATTTCATTCTTCCTAAAAGAAATGGGTTTGCATATTAAGGAATATATCAGTTTCCTAGCATTACTAGGAAACAAATTACCACAAAATTGGTGGTTTAAAACAACAGAATTGTATTCTCTCACTTCTGGAGGCTAGAATTCTGAAATTGAAGCCATGTTTCCCTCTGAAGTCTCTAGGGGAGTATCTTCCTTGCCTCTTCCAGCTTCTGGTGGCTTTAGGTGATTGATCACTGGCTTGTGGCTGGATCACTCCAATCTCTGCCTCTGTCTCCACATGGCCTTCTGTGAAGACATGTCTGTGTCTTCTCCCCTTCTCTCTCTTATAAGCACACTTGTCATTAGATTTAGGATCTACCTGGATAATCCAGAATGATCTCATCTCAAGATCTTCTGCAAAGACTCTTTTCCTAAATAAGGTCACATTCATTCCCGGGTTCCGTGGGTTAGGGTTGCACATAT